TTGAAATAGAATATTAAATACTTCCGCATGTCATCATTATTTTATTTTATTCTCTATAATGGGAAACGCTGTTCTGCCGCTTTGAGCTGTCAATTCGAACCCTGTCAAAATCGTACTTTAGGTTACAAAAACATGTACCTCGTTGTGATTGTGATGTTACTTTTCCCTGATCAAGTAGGATTGCGAAGATGCTCATATTGTCTGCTTTTGTTTCATAATGATGTACGCTGGATGTGACTGCATTCGTATTTATTATTAATGGGTTTATGTGTGGAATGTATCCCTGTCAGTAAGCCATTCAATTCAATTAACCATTGTACTGGTTTTTCGGGTCACTGCTATTTTTTCGAGGGCCGGAAATACTGAGGTCCAATTTTCATGTAGGCAAAACACGTATACATAGCTCTGCAGAACTTTTGAGAATTTGTTCTAAAAGAAATGCTGTAATCTACTAATTGTTACTGATTTCTATTGTTTTTTTATCAATTGTCCGTTACCGGGGTGCTGATCTTCTTTCCTGAGGGCAGCAGGCACCACCAGCAGCTGGATGTATTCTTACTGTAGGAGGGTAAAAGTAATCATTATTAGGTCTTATTTCTAGCACAGGTTCTTGATAGTACAAAATAAACATTTTTATCTTGTTAGTCATCTTGTATGAAAAAAAAAATTGGACCACACACATCCACTCTTCTAGGCTGTCAAGGCTTAAGGATATGATGTTCTTTGGAATCTGTAAATATAAAAATGTTCTCATTCTCAGCAGGGATAAGGAAAGCGCCTCAATAACAGTTTGCAGTTGGTCTTCTTAGATGTAGTCGGCTCAGCAGTCACCTTTACTGCATAGCATTGAGATTCAAGGTATGAATAATGTTGTTCATATTTGTGGTATTGTGGTGGAATGTTGCCTACAACCATTACTTATAGTGTCTGTCTTTTCTCTGCTCTCATTTAGACTTGGCTTCCTTCCCCGTTGTCACCACTGTTACTGTCAAGTCAAGTAGCCATTACGTCTTGTGGAAAAGACTTGTTAATACCGTGATGATAAGAATAAAGTGCCAGAACTATCGACGGCCTTCACAAGAGCTAAGATTCACAAGAGCTAGAGCCACAACAGCTAGGATCCACAAGAGCTAGAGTTCCCAAGAGCTCGAGGCAAATCAACCGTTACCGTTGGCCGACGATACTCGCGCGGGAGTAAGTGCGTAGATCGAGGGCCTGTGTAGTTAAACTGTGCGCACGAATGCATGGATTTGGCGTGCTGGGCGTGGCTGCGGGCTGTGGGGTCTGTGTAGTTAAACCATGCGCATGCATAGTTTGCTTGAGGCATACTATTTTAACTAAAATAAGGGTGTGTTGTTTGCTGAAAATAGATGAGTGTCGAATTTTAACATATTTAGGATTCAACAAGAGAATAAAATGAGTGAATTTGATATAATGTGAATTAGCAGACGCCCACCACTCGTCTTATCTGAGTGCTGTTTCTTCCATACCGTGCCTGTGTGCCTGCCAACTCTCCTAATTCCCCCATGATCAACCTATGCAGAGTCCTAAATATGTTAAAATTTGACACTTAATTATTTTCTGCCATCAAAACACCAAATTTTAGGTAGGGAAAAAAGTGAAGGGTTCCTGAGGACCAACCGACGGCTGTCTACCCTAGAAAATTTGGGTCTTATTTACTAGGATGCCTGCAACCATCTGAAGTAGCAGTGAATCTGAGGGGCCCAACAGTTCCTAAAATAATATTTGATGCAATATCAATCAGGTAAGAGAAATTAACAAAAAGAAACTAATAATCTAAACTCAGTGTTAAAAATTTAAAATAACATTTCTTTACATTTTGTCAACAGATTATCTTAACGGAAGAATGGAAAAAAGGCAAAAGCTGAGCAGTTCATATATCACAGGCCTCATTTCGGACTGTAGGAAAAGCACACAGAAGGACACTGATGATGATTAGCGATCAGAATAGCTGCTCCTAAACATGTTTAATAAGTCTGTATGAGCCCTCCAAGTAAAAGAAATAAGTATCTAATATGATAACATAAAAAAGACACTGTTTTTTTTCTGTTTCCGGTACTTTATGATTCTTTTCTTTCTTCTTCCCCATTCGGTGGAGTAAATAAAGAGCAAGAAACATTTTTAGCTCATAAAAGTTTATGTAGAATTTTAACTTTTCTAATTCTTATGTACCTTTAGCTTAGTTGGTAGGTGATCAATATCGTTCTCTAAATGAGTCTTTATTATTAGTACAATGATAAGTATTGAGTACCTCTTAAATTTCATAGCCTGATATAAAAAAATTATAAGGAAATCAAGTTTTGGTCTCCTTGCAACCATTTTTGAGAGTTAAACCTTCAAATGAATACCTTCTAAAATTTGTTTTTTGTCTTAAGAGTAATTACTCTCTTTTTCAGGAAGAAAAACACTACAATAATTGGCAGCAGGACCCCTTTTTTCGAAATCCTGACTTTATTGAGGATGTTGAGAAAGAATATGAAGATCTCAGCTCTCATTTAGAAGAAGTCCCGGAAGAACCTCCAGCACAACCTAGCCAAAATGTGCATTCAAATGAACCCCTTGGCCACCTAGAAGAACCCCCCACAGCACCTCTAGTAAACCTTGAAGATAGCTTTTTTGACAATATGTTTATTGACGATGACATCCGAACGCCATAAGATGACTTTTGCAGCTTATTGCCAAAAGAAGAGGTAGGCGTTCCTTTCTGCCAGGTCCTTTCTAATTTATCTGAAGGCGTTACTGTGTCGGCAGGAAAAGTTTGCAAGTCATGTCAGGTGGAGACGGCCACCCACATCATAGAGTTATGTGGTCACATAGGTGTGTGTGACGGCTGCTGCGAAATATTCAACATAAATTTTACTCGATGCTGTGGGTGTGGTGTTTACCATTTACAGACTTTCAAAACAGTTTTTTAACTAAACTTTCAAAAAATCTAAAGGTTTGCTGTGATTTTTGAGGTACTGGACTATGTTTATGTTTCTGGTTTATGTTGCATGTGTTCTATAAATTATTGGCCGTCCTGTGTGAATTGCTCAAGTTTTTTTTTTTATTTTAACAGTGAAAGGTTTTCAAGGGAGGTCATTTGGCTGTTGAATCTTAATTTTTCGTCGGTGCCACTGTAGTGTTCTGCAGGTCAATAAAAGCCAACAACAAAATTAACAATTCCACTGATCAAAGCGGATAAGAAGAAATAAGAATTCTTCCGAAAGAAGAGGAAGGGGCAGCCCACTTGTTATCACCTGACGGTGCGGCAGGGAACCGAACAAAAGAGTAGCAGGCTTTTTGTAGCAGTACACGTCACGCCCTGTTTAGCGTAGCATGTAAATGAATGGCATCAAATCAGAGAAGGTTCGACAATGTGTTCCTATGTCAGTATATCCTCACTAGCCATAGCCAAGAGTGTATGGTGCAGGTAGTATCTCACAGTATACAGTTTCGCTGCATTGCTCGGTTATTTTGTGCTAAAACTCAATTTAAAAATTCATGTGCGCCACTGTGAAAAGTTGTCGTACCGGGTACAGGAAAATTTTCGATGGAAGAAGTCGTACAACAACATTTGAAAATTGTGAAATTCACTAGCAGTGCGTATCGACTTGGAATCGAATAACGAGCGAAGAGTGATAGGTTGTAAATTGCAGGACTCGTTTTGTAAATAGCAAATTACATAATATGCCGTTCATGTACAAACATTTTTTACAGTGGCCAGTTAATGAGCGTCAGGGAAAAAGCAGTTTAGAAAGCATTGCTCTTCTTCTTTGGATCGCGTTTGAACCAGGTGAAAACTCTTGTTTGAAAGTGATAAGACGTCTGTCTTCAAGGTACTGTCGGGATGTGCAATGCGGGGATTTAAGTCTGGACTAGTCCGCAATACTCGATTCGTCGTCGCGCGACGCTATTTTTTTAGCCCGCCCTTCTGCTTTGAAAAAGCTATCCAGCGGGCTCATGCAAACGACCTCGTGTCTGTCTGTCTGTTCCACTAGAAGGAGATGTGCTAGAGATTTGAAATTTTCAGGGTATCTTAAGGTCCACTCCTAGAGAATGTCAGTTCTTTTGTCGAAAATAATATCACTCAGCGAAAGCGCAAAAAGCCTGATTCGGCGCGCAAATGGCTGAGGAAAGGTGATTCAGCTAACTTCAGCAATACTCAGTTCTACTTTTAGCTGAGACAAAGATTACTCTTAGCTGACAAGTCCGTTGCGGGTTTGTGCAGCTGTTGTCAGTTCTGAGTAGGGGGCCGAGAATAAGTTATCGTTACTGATCGTGTGTTGTCAGTGAGAATCAGCTACATGTGATAGCCTGGGTACATCTGAAGTTTAAATTCATGGCCGTACCAGTTATAGCCACTGATTCTCAGCCTCTCTCTCAGACTATGGTCAATGCTGATGTTATGTGAAGACAAGCATTTACGTAATGTCAGCTGAATGACAGCTTCTTTCAATCTCCGCGACAGCCTGCAGCCAGCCAATATCAGCCAATCTCATGTGATCAGTTCGACCCAGTCAATGTCAGGTAATGCGTAAACAGCGGGTAACTCCGTTTGTCCGCAGCTCTGGCTCAGTTATCATTTTGTCCCGGGTAGTTGAGCTTTTACATATAAGGTCAAACACATTTATCAATAAAGTAATTGTCTAATTCTTTGGGATAAGCAAACCAAACCCAAAGTCAGCGTAGCAACTAGAACTTCTAATATGCATACATTATGACAGAGAGCTATTATTGTATATTAAAGAATGTCAACTGAAACATAGGTATTTCATAATCAGCCATTCTAGCCATGTCGAAGAGATTCAGTTGGCACAATTTGGATGGTCAGAGAAAACGCAATCCCCACAGCTTAAAAACTAAAAGTTCATGTGTCACAAAACTTTCAGCATGAATCAAAGTTAGTATGAGCCACTTTCACAATTTTTCTCAACAGAATACATG